TCTGTATTTTCTGCCTAAGTGTCTCTAAAATTCCATTTAATTTAAAGATCTTTTTTTTTTTTTCAGCTGGGCATGGGCAGATCATGCCTGTAAATCCTAGCACTTTGGGAAGCCAAAGGCAGGTGGCTCACTTGAGGGTCAGGAGTTCGAGACCAGCCTGACCCATATGGTGAAACCCCCATCTCTACTAAAATCCAAAAAAATTAGCTGGGTGTGCTGGTGCATGCCTGTAATCCTCAGCGACTCGGGAAGGACTGAGGCAGGAGTATCACTTGAACCCAGGAGGTGGAGGTTGCAATGAGCCAAAATCAAGCACTACACTCCCAGCCTGGGTGACAGAGTCGAGACTCCATCTCAAAAAAAAAAAAAAAAAGATTTTTTTTTCTAATATTCATATAATTTCATGCATATATCTCACCTTTAAAATTTCAAACATTACAGATAAAATGAAAATCCCCAGCTGCCTCCCCAAGTCCTACCCATCCCATCCTGTTCCATGCTCCGAAGTGAGCGCTATTGACCGATATATATCTATGTGCCTCCGTTTTCCATTTGTAAAATGGGGATAATGACAGCTGCTATTTCATAGGGTTCTTGTGAAGATTAAATTCATTAGTGCCGGCTGGGCGCTGTGGCTCATGCCTGTTATCCCAGCACTTTGGGAGGCTGAGGTGAGTGGAGCTTGAGCCCAGGAGTTTCAGACGCAGCCTGAACATAGTGAGATCCCGTCTCTACAGATAATTTTAAAAATTAGCAGGTGTGGTGGTGCACTCCTGTGGGTCCCAGCTTCCTCAGGAGGCTGAGGCAGGAGGATTGCCTGAGCCCAGGAGGTTGGCTTTAGGTGAACCGTGATTGCACCACCACATACCAGCTGGATGATCTCTCAAAAAAAAAATTACTGAGTGCCGGCCCCATGAAAAGCACTCTTGAAGAATAGCTATATTTGCTGTGTGTGTGTGGTGACTATTATTTTACCATATTTTACTAATACCATTCTTTCCAGAACTTGTTTTTCTATTATATATGTATCCATAATCACCTTAGTTTTCTTTAAAAGGAAAGTATTTTCAGAATAATTTTTTTTCTCTTTTCATTTTTATTTTTGAGACGGAGGTCTTGCTCTGTCACCCAGGCTGGAATGCGGTGGCACGGTCTTGGCTCACTGCAACCTCCGTCTCCCACAGGCTCAAGAGATTCTCCTGCCTCAGCCTCTCAAGTAGCTGGGATTACAGACGTGTACCACCCACACCTGGCTCATTTTTGTATTTTAGTAGAGACGGGTTTCGCTAGGCCCAGGGTCCCCAGAAGGAAGAACACCTGGGTGCCCAAAAAAAAAAAAGATCTTTAAATTAAATGGAATTTAGAGACACTTAGGCAGAAAACTACAGAAAACCTCAAAAATTTTCCATTTTGCTCAAGAGACGGGATCCCTGTTCTGCAGTAAAAGACATGGGATGGAGAAAGGGGCCACTGGGGGCATCCACAGAGACGATGGAGAAAGGGGCCACTGGGGGCATCCACAGAGACCCACCTGCAGCCGGCTCATCCATGGAAAAGGCCTTGTTCTCCACGAACATGCTCTGACCCTTCTGCTCTTTCAGGATGGTCTCATAGCCCACGCCCCGGGTGGGGTACATGTCCCCCTGGTAGCTTTGCTCTGGGCTGGCCTTGGTCACCTGAGAGACCTCGGGGATGACGTAGAAGAGGACAAAGGCCCAGGCATTGGCGGCAAGGGCGATGGCCAGCGTGGGGTCATCCCAGGTGGGGCTGTTGCGCTGCTCATTGCCATAGGTATACATGACGATCCACACCACCCATATGGCAATGGAGGTGGCCGTGGTGAGCAGCACGAAGACCCCGTGCTTACGCCAGCGCTTGAAGTGGCCACACAGGGCAGGCCAGGCCCCCAGGAAGGCACCCAGCAGCAGCAACATAACGTAGATGAGCGCCATGACAAAGTCCATGTTGGCGATGGCGCAGGGGGAGGCCACGGCCCAGCGGGCACTGCTGTTGCCCTGAGGGCCGCCGTCGCCACTGCCCCGAACCAGTGTGATTATCAGCCACTCCGTATTGATGATGACCTCCACCAGGGTCAGCAGCAGAGCCACAGTGAAGATCACCCAGCCCCGGGGCCCATGGTTCTTCCGGGCCAGGAAGTTGAGGGCGAAGACGTGAGCCGCCAGACAGGAGAAGCAGATGGCGAACAGAACCCCAAAGAGGAAGCGCCGAGAGGCACAGGTGGAGAAGTCGGGCTTCACCACGCAGGCAAACACGAGGCAGAAGAGGCCCAGGGTCCCCAGAAGGAAGAACACCTGGGTCCCCAGCAGGCTGCGTTTCTTGGTGTCCTGCACAAAGGGGAGGCTGGCCACCAGGATGATGGTGAGCACAAACGTGGTGACGATGCCCGCCCCAGCCACGGCCTCCAGGACGATGCCCCACGCCCCAGAGCGGTCACACAGATTGTAGTAGAGGGGGTTGAGGCCTTGGCTGCAGCCAGGTGGGACATGGCTCTGGGCCCGGGCCCCTGGGAACAGGAAGAGAGGCAGTCCCAGGCACATCACCAAGGCTTTGTGGATGGCCATCCTGGCTCCCAGGCCAGGCTCTGGTTGGGTCCCTAGAGACAGAAGGAAAAGGAACAAAATTAGTCCTCCAAGGTCAGACTCCAATATACATGGTGCTGCTTTCCCCACCCCAAACCCAGGCAGACAGTGCCAGCTGACCATGAGGCTCTCTGGACCTCAGAATCCTTCTTAACACAGAACTCCTGAGAGGCATTTCAACTGGCCAGAGAGGCAAATGAGATGAAGCCTATTTTTCAGCCCTATTCCTAGCCATGGCAAAGGAAAAACCTGTCATTGAATTTTCAGTTCCCTCCCTTCCGCCAACCATAACCTGGGTTCAGATATTCCCTGAGTTCTGGCGGCTAGGGTGGAAGATGAAGGGGCTTTGTGAACAAGTCAAGACTAAGCATACCACCCACCCAGCACTTCCTCTCTGCCCTGGGACTTCCAGGCTTCAGGAGGTCGGCTGCTATGTCCCTAAACTCCATTCCTGTAAGGCCTAAATCCATAGCCAGTCAGCTATGCATGCATTCATTCACTCATTCATTCACTCATTCATTCATTCATTCATTCATTCAGTAAGGCCTTAACAAGCACCTGCATCAGGCATAACCAACAGCCAGGAAAAATGAAGAGATAGTCATTTTCCCACTTTTAGTGCCAAGTCTCCACTTCAGAATCCTACATTTTTTGCCTAACTCAGAAGCGGAAGTCAAGGATAAAATAAACAAAGTCCCCAGCTAAGGAGTTAATGACTTAATGCCAAAATTTTCCTTCGGAGCATTAACATTTTAAAAGCAAGAACCAGGCAAGGGCAATGCAAAACCCAAAGGAATTAATCTTTAATAGAAGACTTTAAGATGTCATAGTGGCCGGGCGCGGTGGCTCAGGCCTATAATCCCAGCACTTTAGGAGGCCGAGGCGCGCGGATTACGAGGTCAGGAGATCGAGACCATCCTGGCTAACACAGTGAAATCTCGTCTCTACTAAAGAATACAAAAAATTAGCTGGGCGTAGTGGCAAGCGCCTATAGTCCCAGCTACTCCGGAGGCTGAGGCAGGAGAATGGCATGAATCCAGGAGGCGGAGGTTGCAGTGAGCCAAGATTGTGCCACTGCACTCCAGCCTGGGCGACAGAGCAAGACTCTGTCTCAAAAAAAAAAAAAAAAAAAAAAAAAAAGACGTCGTAGTTAGAAGGCAAGAAAGTTAGCTTTTATTAACACCAGCAAGGTAATTTTCACTCCATCTACTCACTGCCACCCTACCAAATGCCACAGATCTGTGTCAGAGAAGAACACCAAACCCCTGCTCCCAATACCAATTGGATTTTCCCACATGAAGTGGAGGTAATGGATTTAACCGGTTAAGAGACATTAAAGACCAAATCAATGAGTTTTTTCCAATCAAAAGTTTTAAATGTAGTTGCAGGAACCTAACACTGAAAATTTAAATGCTGCTGAGCATGGTGGTTCATGCCTCTAATCCCAGAACTTTGGGAGGTCAAAGTGAACAGATTGCTTGAGTTCAGGAGTTTGAGACCAGTCTGGGCAAATGGTGAAACCCCGTCTCTATAAAAAATACAAAAATTAGCAGCCGGGCGCAGTGGCTCATGCCTGTAATCCCAGCACTTTGGGAGGCCAAGATGGGTGGATCATTTGAGGTCAGGAGGTCGAGACCAGCATGGCCAAAATGGTGAAACCCCGTCTCTACTAAAAATACAAAAATTAGCCGGGCGTGGAGGTGCACGCCTATAATACCAGCTATTCAGGAGGCTAAGGCAGGAGAATCACTTGAGCCCGGGAGGTGGAAGTTGCAGTGAGCCAAGATCGTGCCATTACACTCCAACCTGGTCAATAGAGTGAGACTCCATATAAAAACAAAAGAAAACAAAACAAAACATATATATATATATAAAAAATGAATTAGCAGGGTGTGGTGGCATGCGCCTGTAGTCCAAGCTACTTGGGAGGCTGAGGTCAGAGGATCATCTGAGCCCAGGGGATCGAGGTTGCAATGAGCTGTGATTACACCACTGCACTGCAGCCTGGGCAACAGAGCAAGACTGTTTTCAAAAAAAGAAAGAAAACTAAAAAAAAAAACAAAAAAAGAAAAAGAAATCTTAAATGCTTTAAGAAGCAGGTTATACATTTCAAAATTCTATGAATGCAGGTAGTCCACATTTAAGTCACCCCGTGTTGAAATAACGAGTTGTAACCCCGCTTCATCAGGAACTCTCTGGGAAAAGGGCAACCAAGCTTTCCTGGTCTGACAGTGACCACTAGTGGCTGGTAGGGGAATGGCATTATCTAACTGTATTCTGTAAGGCTGCTACCCTTCTTCCTTTCTTAGGGGGATTGTGAGGTTGTTTATACACGGTTTACCTCCTTACTTTTTCTACCATTCCTGGCTACTTAATTTCTAATAGGCAAACAAAAGGCCTAAATCCCACAGTTGATAGAAATTGTCCCTCTTTTCAGCACAGAAGCAAAAAAAAAAAAAAAAAATTCTGTCCATAACTGATATGTGAAAGAACACTTACTAAATCAGGGGCAATGAAACTCATAAAATTCAGTGAAATGGACACAATAAAGAGGATCCATTGTCAAAGTCCCTTCAAATAGTCTGCAGGCCACTTGAAAATATTTAGGTCGTCTTAGCCATCTCAGCTACCTCATCTTTCAATTAAGCTTGCTTAAGAGTAACTCTTAAAATTAACCATCTCATGCAAATGTACTGTTGTTTTCCTAAATAACTGGCATTGTAACAGGTAGTTTCTCTTCACTTCTAATGCAGGACTTAAATAAGCTTCTGTAGGGGACTTTGGAAATCAATAAAGCACCAACTGTATTTTATTTACAAGTGCTGGAAAGAGGAAAGAGGAGTAAGAGAGGGCTAAGAGGTAAGGAGTAGGCCGGGCACAGTGGCTCACACCTGTAATCCCAGGACTTTTGGCGGACAGATCACGAGGTCAGGAGTTCCAGACCAGCCTGACCAACATGCTGAAACCTCGTCTCTACTAAAAATACAAAAATTATCCGGGCGTGGTGGCACGTGCCTGTAATCCCAGCTACTTAGGAGGCTGAGGCAGAAGAATCACTTGAACCCAGGAGGCAGAAGATTGCAGAGAGCCGAGATTACGCCACTGCACTCAGTCTGGGTGACAGAGCGAGACTCTGTCTCAACAAAACAAAACAACAACAACAAAAAAAAAGGTAAGGAGTAATATGGAGCCACTCCCGGGACATAATTTATGGATAACAACATTCTGTGGGGTCCTAAATGTTCAACTTCATCTTGGGCTCCACAGCCCATCAGCCAGAACTTGGGCTTGACGCTGGACATAGGGAAGAGAGCCCTCAGAACTGCCACTTAGCCTCCAGGCACCTGTACTTACAAGGGCTTTTCACCCCATCCCCCTCAGCCAGGGCCCAGTTTAGAGCAGGCAATTACTCCAAATCAGCAAATATTGACTGTGTGCCTGGGAAGGAAAGGCCCTGTTGTTCCCAGAGCTGTGGAAAATACAAACATGAACATAGTCCCTGACTTGATGGCATTTAAAATCTATCAGGGGAGATAAGGTAGGTACTCACAAAAATTACACAAGGAAGAATATGATTAAGGGACACACAATGGAATTTACCTGTAGGAGAGAGACAGGGGCTACAGGAACACAGACGAGAAACAGGCAGAGCAGAGAAAGACTGTTCCACAGAGTTTTACTCAGAATCTAATAAAAAACATACCAGGTCCCAGACACCGCCAAGAGACAGGGACACCCAGAAGCTAAGCCCTGAAGAATGTGAGGAACGGCTGAGCAGGTGAAGGCAACAAGGAGAGGGACGTGTAAGGCAGAAAAGACGGTGTGAATCAAAGCCCTTTGAGCCCAAGTCCAGAGCAAGTGAAAAAAGAATTCAGTTTGCTAAGTATCAGCTGAGTTTGCAAAGGGAGGCTGCAGCTGCTGGCTGACACATTGGAAATGCTACAGGGGTGGGGCTGGGGGCATTATTCTAAAGGTAACAGTCAGCCACCGAAGGCTGTTTTCAGCATGATGGGGGCATAGCCAGGGTTGTACTTTTAATAAATGAGTCTGGGAAAAATGCACAGGCAATCGGTTTGTTGGACGGGGGGGGGGCACACATTCATCTCAGTTAAAGGTCAAGGCCAAAGGTAAAGCCATAATGGCCAGCTCTGAGAGATCGTTTCCAAAAAACAATCGAAGGACTTGTTGGCAGGCAGAGGTGGGGGAAAAGGATGCTAAAGCCCACACTACAAGTTCAAATCTAACAGGCATGTCATTACAGAAAACCAAGCCAGGGACCAATGTCACTTATTCTTCTTGATCCATCTTGCCCTAGAAATACTTGCGTGTACCCTGCCAGCTCCCAGAAGCCCACAGGCACTTGGGCCAGGGTCAGGAAAGCATCACAGCTCCCTGTCCCCAAGCCCCCACCTCCCATTTCCCCCTGACTTTGTGGTTGGTGACCAGCAACTTCCTTCTGCACCTGACCCTTCAAGTCTTGCTTCTCCTGCCAACCCCCTCAATATAGAAACTTCCAGGGAATGAGAGAGGAACCTGTATCTGCCCCTTACCGCATCCAGGTACCAGGCTGCTGCTTTTAGGAAGTTGCTGAGCAACTTAATAGCCTCAGAGGACACAACCTGGTCCCATCCTGAAAGACCTTATTTCTCTGGTACCCCCAGAAATGGAAGAGCAGGTGGGAAGACAGAAATGCATGGACTCAGGTGAGAAAGCTGGGCCTTCTGGGCGTGGCTCTCATCTACTGCCTAGGACAAGGACCCTCAGAGAGTTAAGAGAAGCTCAGAAGAGCACAGCTCCAGCCCTCTGATGCCGGGAGTGCATATTCAGCCAATGCCACCTTTTTTTTTTTTTTTTTTTTTTAAGACAAAGTTTCACTCTTGTTGCCCAGGCTGGAGTGCAATGGCAGTGATCTCGGCTCACTGCAACCTCCAACTGCCAAATTCAAGCAATTCCCTGTCCTCAGCCTCCCAAGTAGCTGGGATTACAGGCGCCCGCCACCACACCCGGCTAATTTTTTGTATTTTTAATAAAGACAGGGTTTCACTATGTTGGCCAGGCTGGTCTCGAACTCCCGACCTAAGGTGATGTGCCTACTTCAGCCTCTCAAAGTGCTGGGATTACAGGTGTGAGCCACCGTGCCTGGCCCAATGCCACTTTTAAGATGGTGGCTAAGGGACTGACAAGATGGACTGAGTTCTGGTCAGAGGCTTTTCCTCAGGACCCTGGAGGAACCTTCTGCTTCCTGTGGGTCCCTAGATCCCGCGCTAAGACTGAGCCTTCTGATCCCTGAACATTCAAATCATATCCGTGTCTCCCTTCCAGGGCTGGAAGGTCTTTGAAGCTGGTGAACAAGAATTCTAGAATTCACTGCCACAGCGGGTGCTGTGCCTGAACACACTGGGCATTTGGAAGTCACCTCTGGATGGTCTCAGGTGCATTGATCGGTACCCAGGGCTGCCCCCTCCATTTTGGAGTTGCATCTTCTGCTTAAAGATTCTCAGAGGGTACAATGAGTGGGGTAGGAGGGGAACCTCCTTCTGCCCTGAGTCTCCCCGATCCCACAGCTGAAGCCCAGCCCCAGCCTCAGATTATTTTCTGGACAAAAGGGCCTTTTGCTTCACTTCCCTGGAATCAGTTGTACAAATATTTTTAATCGCCTCTGAAATCGGCCTTTCCCCAGGCTCAGCCACCCGGCCCCCAGCTCTCCTCTGAATCAGTCCAGTCCAGTTGCTGAATCTCCCTCCTCCCTCCTTCTCTCTGCAGGGGGCGCAGAGGCCTGGTGGGCTCAGAGGCTGAGGCCCAAGCAGCCCTGACTGGTTTCCCCCAGGAACAAGTGGCTTCATCCAGCAACAGGGGAGACAGCCAGGCCTTCTCACTTCTCCAGAGCAAAACCCCCTTCCTGGCTCCAGCATCATCCACACACAAGCCTGAGACCCCCTCCACCCACCAGGGCAAAGGATACCACCCTGCAAAGAGAGCTCCAGCGTGTCACAGGGCCAACCAAGCTCAACACTGACCCATGGCCAATGGCTGTCTTCAAGGGTGCTGTGACCAGGGCACTCTCCAGGGAGGTTCACCCAGGTATACCACAGAGCACCTGCCTTCCTCCCATCCCACACACTGTACAGCCTATCGGGAAAGAGGATGGCCTCACTGACAGCCTTCCTACCTCCATTTCCATCCCTCTCTCCCAGTCCCTGGTTAGGTCCCATTGTCTCACCCCTCTGTCCAGGGCGCTCAGGCGTTTACCCCATCAATAAGGCGCACAGGAGAAGCCTGTGCCTGGAAGGAGTGGGCTCAGTGTGTAGGTTGGTGGCCGGGGAGGGGGGGGGAGGGGTTGCTCGAACCTCAGCCTAGACAGCCCACCTCTATCCTCCTATCCCTGCCCCGCACCAAGGCCAGGCATTTGGGCCAAAATGCCCTGAGCACTCTGAGACTTGGAAATCCTCAAGGGTCTGCCCTGGAATGTCACTCTGGAATGCGCCCCGGCCCCCAAGGCACTCCCTCCCCTAGTCACAGTTGAAGGCACAGGGGTGGGGGGACGGCGCTCCAGGAGCACAAAACCCTACTTCAACACAGTCTCCTCCCCTGGACTTTAGGATCTTGGTCGTGGAGTTTGTAAGTGATTGGGTCTTCCTACGTGTAACACTGCGGGCCTGAGGATGGAGGTGCAAAGGACGCTAGAAAAGCCAGCCGGGAGTGGGGGTTCGGGATCTAGGGGCCAGGCTGCCAGAAGGAGAGGCGCTTTGATAGTCTGAATTTCCAAACTTCCCTCAGGGAGATTCTGAGCCCTCTCGTCCCTACTTGGGTCGACGGTACTGGGGTCTACACCTGCGCTCCCCGGATGGCTGGAATGGGGAGCAAGGGAACCAGTCTCTCTCTCCCATTTTTAGGGCTACAGAAACCTGCCCTCCCCATCCACAGTAGCAGGCGGCGGAGAGGACGCCGACCCACAAGAGAGGGTGACCGCGGACTCCCACCGAGAGGCAGGCGGTGGAGGGGCTCCCATTGGAGACCCCGATCGTGGAGTCCTTTCCCCTCCCTCCAGCCTGAGCCGCAGCGCCGGGCTCTCCCATCCCCCATTCCCCAGCCCCAGCCCCCAGCCTGCTCGGGTCTGAAAACTTTCAGCGACCGAGCGGAGTTGGTGCGGCGTCCCCCGCCCGCAGGATGTCCCAGCCCCAGCCTCTACCCTCGCCCACTCCCCGCCGGCCCGACCCGACTCTTCCGGACGGCGGAGAGGGAGGGCGGAGCGGGAAGGCAGCAGCCCTTACCTGGGACTCGCCGCGGGCCCCGCTCCTGCACAGCCTTTGGGGCCAACTCCAGCCCCAGGCGGGCGGCGGGCGGGGGTGAGAGGGATTCGGCGCGGGGCGCTGGGCCAGGCCCGGTCCTGGCTGGGATGGCGGGACCCGGGCCGGGACGCAGGGCCTGCCTCTCCCCGGGACCGAGGCTGAGCCGGGCGCGCTAGGTCGCTCGCTCTCGCGCGGGCCTGTCCCCAGGCAGGACTCCTTGCTGTCGGCGAGGGTGGGCTGGCGCCTGCATCACCGTTACATCACCTCCATTCAGGGCGCTTATCGGACGCCCGTCGCGCTCCAGGTACGTGCGCTCCGTTTACACAGGAACAAAGCCTGCCCGGGCCTCCCCGCCCCGACTCACCTCCAGGCTGGGCCGACTCGCACTTTCCGGCTAGGGAGGGAGATGGGAGTTTCTGGCCCTGCCGGCGTGTGGTTTGTTGCTGTTGACTGCCACGCCCCCGCACGCGGGCGCGCGCACACTCACGCGCACTCACTTTCTGGGCTCGGCCTTCTCCGGGGCAAGCGGTGTGGGGGTGCAGCCCTGCGCACCCCCCACCGCGTCTCCCAGAGAGCGCGCGTACGGACACGCGTGGGGCTACCTTGACGCGTCTCCATGGGGGACACCTAGCCTTTGTCACCTTCGTCCTGGCCCTCCCGTGAGACACACTTAGGGCACAGTTCGCTGGGAGCGGGCCGGAGCGAGGCGCACACTTAAGACACAGAGTCCGTCTTTTTGTCACGCCTTCTGCGTCCCCTCCCCTCCCCAGCTTGCACACGTGGACACACCGAGGTTCGCCTTTTGCACGCGCGGTCCTTCTCTGGGACCCCCCACCGGTCACAAAGCGTACGTGGGATCGTTACCAAGTGCTCCTCTCACGCGTGGGCCGAGTCCAGAGCCACTCCGCACCGTGGGCAAAGGTCGCCCTGGGCCCGACTATCCCGCGCCCGGATTTCCTGCGACCGTTCCAGGTTCTGCCCAATTCGGAGCGCGCGCTCCCCTCCCAGCGTCCCGGTTCCCTGCTCCGACTTGTCCTAATTAGCCTTCACGGTTTTGTTCCCCGAGGTACAGTGTTTAGCGCGGCCCCCTCGGTCTCTGCGCTCCGGGACACGTCGGCTCTGACTCCGAGTCCGTCCCCTCCAGCAGCCGGGGGACCTTTCCAAGAGGTCAGGTTCCCACCAGCCCCACCCCCACTCCCTGTCCCGGGGTGGATCTGTGGGTTGCCACTCTTTCCCCTCCGGCCCCAGGAATCTGCTGAAGGTGGACCGCAGAAATTGGGAAGCGAATCCAGGCTGGGACTTCTCCAGCCCGGTAAACAAGAGGAGATTTTCCGGCCGCCTTCCCCCGGGGCTGCTGGCCTCGCGGCGGGTGGGGTGCGCCGTCCCAGGGACCGGCCGCGAGGCCTAGTTAGCCCGCGCCAGAGGCCCGTAGGGGCCGAGGCGCACGGAGGAGGGAGAGGTTGTTAGGTCTGGCCGGGGCCCTGGGGACGCGGAGGGAGGGCAGGGCGCCGAGTCTCGGGGTGCCTGTTCTCCTGACGCCGAGTTGCCTGGGGGATCGCCAGCGGCGCGCCGGTCGGAGCCAGCTGGTGGCGAGGCAGGCGGGGCGGGCGGCCGGTGTTTGCTCAACCCCGAGCGCCCGCGAGGGGGAGGGGAGGTAGCTGGTCGCGGGCTAGGGGGTAGCAAGGTGGAGGAGCGGGGGCAGGGAAAAGGGTGGGTATCTCCCGAGCTGCTTGTTTGCGTGCCTGCCCCGGTGTAAGGCAACTGGGAGCCTAAACTCTATGAATCACCCGGAGTTGCTGGAGCGATAAACCTCAGGCTGGTTCCTCCCCTCGCACGCCGGCTTCTCTGACTCCAGGAGGGAATGTTTGCTTAGCGGCTGGAGCTGGCGGAGAGGCCCTGGTTCTCTAGAACCCTGTATCCCTTCCTGGCCTTGCCTTGACGGGCTGGTCTGCGGTGGCGGAGACTGAATTGTTTCACGTCTCTTCAAGAAGAGGGGCGCAGTGCTGCTGCTGATTTGTTCCTCTCTCTTGGGCTCCCTCCCGTAGCTCCACCCCCCCCACCCTAAGATTCAGAGGCCCCCATGCCAGGGAGGCAAACGCTTGTAGGGTCCAAGCAGTTGGGTGCCCACGCTAGAAAGGCAAACGGCGGGTCAGACCTAAGCGAGGGGCATCCATGACTCTGGGCTGGGACTAGTTCTCATGAACCAGGCGACCAGTGCTGAACACAGTGTGCTGGGAGGGACTGCTCATTAGCATATGTGAAAAGCCAGATAAGAGCTAGAGGAAGGTGGAAAGGAAATAGTCTCCGAGACTGCTTGTGACCTTAAGAAGCCAAACATGAATTGTGCATCTGGCAGGTGTGTTTCAATTTATTTTCAAGCTTGGGGACTCGCTTTTCCCTACCTAGATTCTCCAAAAAGGCAACTCTTGGCCCCTCCCTCCCCACCCAGGCAGGGAAAAGGCTGGGGCATGTGAGGCCTGGGCACCCCAGCAGTGGAGCCCTCCCACCGCCAGCCCTGCATAGTAGATGGCAGTGGAAATGTAGGGAGGTTTCCTGAGAGCTGTTTGCTCTTTTTGTGTTCAATCCATCTCACTTCTGGGGCAGGATCTGCCTTTAAAGGACAAAGCAAGTCCTTTGGGGCGGATGAAATGGGCTTCAGCCTTCAGGGTCCCTGTTGGCCTCTGCTCTAATCCCACGGGCCTGTGCTGGTTCAGAGTGGGGAGGCAAGAGTTGGAGAAGGCATGAGACCCCTCCACCATGAGTCGGACCCTGGTGGGGGCTGTGGACACAGCGAACCTGTGATGCTAGAAGGAAAGTTTCGTGGGAGGTGGCTTTGCTTTCGGAAAAACTCCAGCCACAGGGTCCTCTGTGCCCCCAAATGTCCTTCACCTTAATTTAATACCCCAGTAGGTGTAGAACCCATTGCGAACTCCGTTTTCACCAAAAAACTACACTCTGAGAAGTGTTCAAAGAGTGCTACTGTTCAAAGAGATCTCGGGGCCCAGCACAGTGACTCACACCTGTAAACCCAGCGTTTTGGGAGTCCTGGGTGGGAGAATCGCTTGAGCCCAGGAGTTGGAGACCAGCCTGGGCAACAAAGACTTCATCTCTATTGAAACAAACAAACAAAAAAGAAAATGATATGGGGTCTCACTGTGTTGCTCAGGCTGGTCTCGAACTCTTGAGCTCAAGCGATCTTTCTGCCTTGGCCTCCCAAAGTGCTGGGATTACAGGTATGAGCCACTGTGCTCAGCCTATTTACTTTTTTTTTTTTAATATATGAAATAAAAAGGAAGAAAAAGATTCTGGATTGCGGATAAGCATGTCTGTGTCCACCACCCAACTACCTCCACCCCCACCTGAGTTGGGTTCCTACTGGCAGAGTGAGAAACCACCTTTGTTCGTTGGAAAGCTTCCTTCAGAGATGTCTGAGGTCTTGACAAGGTCCGGGGTGAGAACACCTGTGCCACCTGCCGGCTGTGTGACTTGGGTGAGTGGTCTTATCTCTCTGAGCCCTGCTTTCCTCAACTGTAAAACTGGATGATATCACCCCCAGAATGAAGCTGTGTCTGGAATGTTCCTCACACAAGCCAGGTGCTCACAGGGAGCCAGTGATCAGCCTCCGCTTTCGCTGGTGTGATTGTCATTCCCTCTAAGCCTTGACAGGTCTACCAGTTTTTATTTATAATTTAAATTTTAATTAATTAATTAATTATTTTTGAAACAGGATCTCACTCTGTCACCCCGGCTGGAGTGCAGTATTGCGATCTCGGCTCAGGGCAGCCTCAACTTCCCAGGCCCAAGTAACCCTCCTGCCTCAGCCTCTCGAGTAGCTGGGACTATAGGAGTGCATCGTCATGCATGGCTAATTTTTGTATTTTTTGTAGAGATGGGGTCTCACTATGTTGCCCAGGCTGGTCTGGAACTCCTGGGCTCAAGCAATCCTCCCTCCCTCACCTCCCAAAGTGCTGGGATTACAGGCATGAGCCACCGCGCCTGGCCTAATGGCTTTTAACCCCAACTCTTGCAGAAGCTGGCATTCTTTCTGTTCTGTTTCACCGTGATTGGAATAGCTTTGCCATGCCATGCTCTGAGGCTTCACCTGTGATGTTCCTTCCACCTCGAACATTTTATGCCTCTCACCCTCCTTTTTCTGTGTGAATAAAAAGTTTTTAAAAATCTCCCCTGCCCCAAAGCTTAGCTCCAGTGTTCCTTCCTTTGCGAAGCAATCCACACCTTCCCACGAAAGACCCATTGTGAGTTGCCCTTTTTACCCACAGCCTGTTACGCATTCATTTATTTATCATTTATCCTAGTGTATCATAATTAGCCTTCTAAATTGGTTTTTTCTCCAATTACACTGTGCCCTTCTAGAGAGCCAGGGACACGTCTCACTCATCTTGTTTTCCCTGGCATCTGGCACTCAGACGGGTGTGGGTAAATGTTTTCAGTAAATGCTTGTAGAATATCCGTTATTCTGTGGCTGGCCACGGCTGATCTTCCCCTCACACCAGCAGCCTTGCAAACAGCACCACCCCTACCCTGCCTCCCGTACCCCACTTTCTGGGAAGCAGGCAAGCCCCAGTGCCTACTGGAGAAGTCGCCTCCCCTGGGGCTGCAATGCCCCGCATCAGAGGTGAGGGTAGGAGGCTCTGGCACCCCGGCTTGGGGCATGGAGGGGCCTATCCAGAGAGAGCCAAAGGTCAGTTGTGTTGTTTCGAGGGACTTCCCAGTTTGCCTGGGCAGCAGGAATTCTGGATTGCAGTCTCAGCCTGCAGAACCTCCAACAGGACCCATTTCCTCCTCCACAGAGTCGAAGGCCTGCTCCCTCTGCCCGGGGAGTGGAGGGCCCCAGGTCGAACAGCCAGGCCCCAGTGGGGGAGGAATAGTCCCTCGCGGAGCTGAGGGTGGGGCTCCTGCTGCCTGACAAGTTGGGGCCTGGAATCCTGTGCTAGGTGGCTGGGTGCCCTGCAACCCACAGCCGGCTGCTGGTAAACAGTTAGCATTTCACCTCTCCTTGCTCCCAGGCTCATATTAACTGGTTACTGCCCCGACTGCCGCGTCTGGCCAAATCTCTTTTTCTCGTAGGCTCATAGGACTTTCTGTGTGGGGCAGCGGGAACTGCCCAGTTTTTTGAAAGGACTTTGGTCCCATCGGGGCCCGTTAAGAAGCAGAAAACCAGGGCCAGGGAGCAGGCGAGTGAAACAGTCACTCACCACAACCGGCTGCCCATGGGTGATCGCTCTGGAAGTGTACCCGGAAGCAGGCCTTGGGCAGAGGCCACGGGAATGTCATCTGATGCTGAACCCTCCCCCATGGCTGCAAAATCTGCTCCTCCCTCATCCCCCTCCCTGCCCAGGGCTCAGTAGCCACTAACCAACTCCCTGTGGAAGGAGAGAACGGGGGCTCCTGAGCTGCTTTGATCTGGTCAGCCTCCACCCTCAGACTGAGCCAATCCTGAGTGCCAGACCTCAAGGCCAAGGGTCCAGGGATCCAGGCCACTCAGTCTGCCCGCCTCTATCAAAATCAAAACGGAAATGTGTAGCCAGCCCTGCAATTCGTTCCCCTGCCTTCAGGAAGCATCTCACCCCAATCCGTGAGCAGGTCAGGGGGAAGCATTCCTTCTGCCTTGCTGCAGTGGCTACAGCAGCCCCCAGACTGATGGCCTCTGGTGGCAGTCTTCCTCCAGTCACCCTGCAAACCCCCATCCAGGGCAGGACCTTCACTGACTTCACCCCAACACCTTTCACTCCTAACACCTTCACTGGCTCCTGGTGCCTTTATGTGAAAATCCAGGCTCCCTTGCCCGGCATTCAAGGCCTCTACAACCTGTAGGTACCTAACCTTGGCTCCAACCTCCTCTCCTTCCTGTTCCCCCACGGGAAATTGTCACTCCCGCCTGAGAAGCCTGCTGTGAGTCTGCCTCGCCCCCGCACTTGCCTTCCTGTGACTTCGCTCACATGTCCTGTATTCTCGATCCAGGATGCCTGTCTCCTCCTCTCGGCCCCTTGATTCCATCCCCCTTTAAAGCCCTTGGCTCCTCCCAGAAGCTTTTGCTGGTGCCCACCACCCCGTAGTCCTCTTCCTCCCTCTGCTCTCCTGGGATCCCACCACTGGTGTGCATTTGCTACTCTTACATGGCTCTGCCTTTTTTTTTTTTTTTTTTTTTTTATGGAGTCTTGCTCTGTTGCCCAGGCTAGAGTACAGTGGTTTGATCTTGGCTCATTGCAACCTCTGCCTCCTGGGTTCAGGTGATTCTCCTGCCTCAGCCTCCCGAGTTGCTGGGATTACAGGCGCCCGCCACCACACCCAGCTAATATTTATTTATTTATTTATTTATTTATTTATTTATTTATTTATTTGTATTTTTAGTAGAGACAGGGTTTCATTATGTTGGCCAGGCTGGTCTCGAACTCCTCACCTCTGGTGATCTGCCCATGTTGGCCTCCTGAAGTGCTGGAATTACAGGCATGAGCCACTGTGCCCGGCCCCGTGTATCTTATAAACAGAGATCTTGCCTCCCTGGCTCATGATAGGTCTGTAGGGAATGGACTCTGGATTTCATGCCTCTCCATGAAATCCCTAGCATAGTGCTTTATACATCCAAAAAATGGGCACCACATATCTGTGGGTTGATTGGATTGATTGGCCAAGAGCTGAGAGGGGCTGTTAGCCTTCTGTAAGGGGAAAGAAGGGCTCAGGGTCTAGACTTTGCTTTGCTGCTGATGAGAACCCAGTACTCAGATCCTGGGCTTCCTGTGGCTCCCAGAATTCCAGGCGGAGAAGTTCAGAGAGATGCTGGCTAGTTGGATAATACAATAGCCATAATAGCTTACCTCTGTAGAGTGCTGTACAATTTCAAGCACCTTTTATATATATTTGATGCTTACAACCTTATAAGCCACCATAAGGCAGATGTTATTGTCTCCATCTTCTATATTTAAAGACTGAGGTTCATAGAGGCTCAGTGGCTAGCTGTGGATTAGAACTATCTTCCTTTAGCCCACGGGACTTGCACCTCTCTATCGTGTGCTCCCCAGTACACTTCTCTTATCTCTTATATAGCCCTGACATTTTCTACCTTATTGATGGTTATTTCTGTCATGCTTTATGTCCCCAACCAAGGTATAAGCTCTTGGGAAGGGAAGATGTGTGCTTGACCCATCTTTGTGT